CTTCCTTCGCCGTGTTTTGCTGCGAGTTAGAAAACGCCGCTCGTTAACGGAGCTCGGAAGGCGCGCCTTCCGATGATCATCCGGAGCAGGCCGAGCCTAACCCTTCAGTCATAAACCAGTTTGGGACCAAGGAAGAGTATACGGATCCGCCGGATCCGACAGGATTGGAAGCGGAAGACCAACGGTTCCGTGTTCCGCCCGAAGGTGAAACGCGACTGGCTTTGATCTGAGTTCGTGAGTCGCAGCCCAGGGCGAAGCCCTCTTCAGCATGTTAGATTGCCCTGAAAAACCCATGCAAAGCATCCCCGAGACACGCCAGTCCTTTGCAGCCTTGCTTTGTTTGCACAGCTCTGCCATGCTAGGCTGCGCGACTGGGTCCTGTGCTCGGAGGTCTTGTGCTCCAGGCACTTGTCTCGCAGACTGGCAAAGCCCAACATCTCCTCCACCGTAAGCCGTAAGCTCACAGCGTGACACAGTGTGCACTACCAGTATGAGCTGGGAAAGCTGAGGGCCCGGGGCGCTCGAAACCCTTCTCTTCCCTTGGTCCCTCCTCCCTCGTCCCTCGTCCCGTCCTCGGGGAGTTCCTGCAGCAGACGTGAGATGACGTGAGTCTCCAAAGCCGCTTCTGAATTCTTTACACCTTCAAGTCCTTTACACCACGAAGATGCTCTGCAATAGCAAACTCATGTTTTCTCTTCGCTCTATGTCTTCTTTGTGGGTTGTACTCCTTTTCTGCTGCTCCAGCTCATCACGACAAATCTATTCTCTTTGATCTCCATGGCCTGGTGTTTGATAATCTTGTCCGACTAAATGTTGTTCAGTCATTTGGCACAGTGCAACTGCAGTAGTTCGTAGTTGTGCCAGAATCTGGCTGGCCCTGTTGGTTAGCTGGTTGCCCTGTGCTGAAACAACTCTTGCTGCGCCGGGCTTTATTCTGGATGAAGGTTCCTGCTTGGGTGATAGATCACCAGACAAGGGGGGGCACGTCAAGCGAAAAGGTTCTATCTCTACAAGTATGGATTCAAGTGGCTGGCTCGTATAACTCTTCCATTAAATCTCAAAAACACTCAGCCTGCAGCTCCCGTCCCGCCCCCCGCCGTGGAAGGGATGTGGAGGGTCCTGCAGCTCCCGCTCCAGGCGCTCTCGCAAGGCCTGCGCGCGCGATGCTGCATATGCGGCTGGTTGCTGGTGTTTTGCTGTTACTGCCTTGCAGCGCTTCTGGCTGCTTCAGCCGCGCCTGATCCGACTTCACCTGCGCCTCAAGCTCCTTCAGCTCCTTCCCTGCAGGGTCCAAAACGTCCTCGCCTCCAGGAAGAAGGACATAAGGACATAACCCTTTGTTAGCCTTGAAGGGCTCCATATATGGGGCGTGCCTGGCCTGAAACCTTCTCCTGACTGGCAGCCTCCAAAGCTTTTCAATCAGAAGACAACAAAAAGCGCAGGTCTGTTCCGCACCTCGCGCACCTCGACGTCTTCCACGGGCTTGGAAGAGGGCTCATCTTCCGACTCTTCCTCCTCCGGCTCCTCCGGGGAAGCTGCTTCAGAAATGATGCTGGGCCTGCCCTGGGCCTGCATGGTATCGGCTCCCTCCATCCACCTGGAGGGACAAGACGCGTCACGGCGGTTCGCCGACCCCAATGACCCGATCCCGTTGAACGAGTCTTCAACAGGCCATGGCGGCTTGGCATACTCGGAGACCACCTTGGTAGTGGTGCTTGTGGAGCTCGCTCCTGCAACTCTGCGCGGAGACAGAGCTGAAGGCTCTTGTGCCGAATGTTGCCGATTCCAAGCCTTCTGCGCCTCCCTTTGTTAGCTGCGCCTGATACCGGCGGCGGGCGGGGCCCATTAAAGCATGCCTGCACAGCCACCAGCCGTGTCGTGCCTCCAGGGATGCGATTTTGGCCTCCGGGCAGGCGGCCGACAGTGAGAATAACAGTAGTGGCAAGGCACGGGCCGGACCCCTTGTGTTAAGAATGGTTTCTCTATCTTGCTAATGTGCTGGTTTCCCGAAGGGTTGCAGATAAGACACCGATCACAGGAGGCATTTTTGAACATGTACCTACCTGTCAACAAGTCTTGACGGTAAGATGGAGTCTCAAGGAGAGACCTGGTCCAGTCTTTACGCGCACTTCCGGAACAGCTCTCTCAGGCTAAGGCTTCCAGGGATTTCACCTTCTCCTTCAGCCTGCGAAAAGTGATGAGCGTAGCAGCAGGCCACAGATGCACCGCCCATGCGCCTTGGCAACTCGGTCTTGCACTCCTCCTGCAACTTCACGGCCTCGAGCTCCTCCTCACAGCTGCGCTGACTCCGCTGACTCTGCTCTGCTGCCCCGCGACATCCGAGTCGGAGTCCTTCCGCTTCCGCGCCTCGCTTAGGCGCACCTCCAGCTCGGGCAGCTGAGCTTTCAGCCTGCGAGGCTCTCGCAGACTTCGCTGCTGCCCCCAGCCCAGCCCAGCAGCCCAGCTGCCTGTCCAGATCCTCGCGCTTTTGGACAAGGCTCTGCTTCGCCTTTACGGGCAAGGCCAAGGCCACAGGAGCCGCAAGGGCCGCAAGGGCGCCGCAAGCCGGCACGGCCACAAAAACACCCTCCTCCGCAATGGTCTGGTGCTTCACTTCCAGGCCAGCGCCTCAGAGGGAACAAAGCTCTCTCTCTCTCTCTCTCTCTCTCTCTCTCTTCTCTCTCTCTTCTCTCCTTTGAATTGCGGTGTCTGGCGGAGGTCTTTCAACTTGCGCTCCCGCTCGGCTCGCAGGCGCTCACCTGCGCGCACGGGCACCGAAATCACCGGCGCCGCGAAGCTCTGCGGCGCGATGCCGGGTCGGGGGTCGCCTTCTTCTCGGCAAGTGTTCGGACCTGGCTCGGCCGTTGAAAACTCGAAGTGGGCCCCAGCGGCCCAACGAGGGCGAGGGCCCCGGCATCGAGTGCTTGAAGCTTCCTGCAGACGGCCGGGGGGAGAAGTGAACGAGTATCGCACTGTCGCACTTCAACGTGCCTCGTCAGAGCCGTCGCAGCAGTCACAGATTCCATCTCCGACCCTGGACACGTAGACCTCGAGCAACTCGCAGCAGTGCCGCGGTGCCCCCACAGCGCTTCGGGTGGAGAGTGCCAGGCCTATAGGGCCTTAGAAGTGGGGCCCGGGGCCCGCACCAGCCGCGCTGCGCTGCCTGCATTGGCGCAATGGAAGAGAGCCACCTGCATCGCTCAAAGGGGGCACGCGCGCACTCAGCTGGCCCAAATTCAGTTGTGCCTGAGAGGCACCTGCGCAGGCTCCAGTTCCTGTGCTGGGGTTCAACGGAAGCTGAATTGCTGTGCCTCTCCGCTCTCCGCACCTGGCTCATCCGAGCCGTCTGGACAGTCACAAAAATCATCGTTTACCTCTGCGATTTGCACCTGCAGACGACACAGATGGACAAGACGAGATCGCGAGATTCTTTGAAGGAAGCAGCTGTAAACCTGATACCGTACGGATTGTATCCGCCGACCGTCGTCAGGAATTCTTGCCACTGAACCTTCCCGCTCCGCTGTCCTTTTTTCCCGCGCCGTATCTCCCTGAATGACCCTATAACCGACCACGTAAGACCTGTACTCCCAGCCGCCAAAACCCAGACTTCCCTGAACCTTGAACAGAACTTTTAAGAAGATCTGTTCTGTTTCGGGCTCAGCAAGCTTTGTGGATATGAATAGTTTAAGTTTCGGAAATGAGGCCCCGGAGTTTTTCTACGGTTTCCCAAGCACATCTTCCTAGCATGTTCTGTTACAGTACATCCTCCTGTGCGCATACTGCTTCCCTTGTCACTTCGCTAGCCTCTGCGGAAGCCGCCTCAAGTAAGAGGCCGCGGACTCCGGAGAGCGTGGATGCCCCGAACAGCTGCAGCTGCTCAGCGGTAGCGCCGTCTTTGGTGCAACCGGAGCTCCCGGCGGCTGAGTGTTCCAGCAGGTGCAGCCCGAAACTCGCCATGGGTTTCTTGGCACCGGCTGCCAAGCACTGCCAGCTGGACGCCACGTCACAATCAAAATACGAGACCCAGCAAAAGCCAATGGACCCAGTGAGCCGCCCAGGCCTCTGGAAATGCAGAAGCTGCCGCAAGATTCAATTCCGCCAGCGAAAATGAAGTCAGACGGCTGTGGTCTTCGAAAAGGGCAGGGTCAGGAGTCAGGCGGGCCCGGGCCCCAAAACCAGAGATCCTTCCACCAGGAAGCGTTTGGATCCCTGGCCCGGGCTTCACGAAGAGTCGCAAGCAGCTCAGGAGGCTCGCAAGGCCCCAGAGAAAACAGTGAAGCCTGGACTGTACGTGACCACCAAGTCTTGCTTGCTTGCTCGGTTGCTTTCTCGCTTGTGTGATAAAAAGAGACATGGTAAATCCTTATGTATATACTTCTTATCCTGAACATATATATGTATATGTATGTATATGGATACCTTGAAAAGGAAGGCTTGGCTCACCTCCCTCCCACCCGCAGCTGCCTCCTTTGTGGTGCTTCCGCACCGGAATGTGGCGCCGCTGTATCGCCCTTGCAGATCTGGCGCCACGCCTCGAACCATCGCCAGGGCCGCTCGCCCCGCACCTCAGCTCGGAGAGCCATCCGCCGGATCCGCTACAGTCCGCTGCAGCCCTGCAGCCCTCAGTCCGAAAGCCAAAGCCACCATTCCGATACCGCTCTGAAGGTGCTTCGGTGCTTCCTGAGTTTCCGGCTCAAGGCACCAAGCAGGCGCCACATGGCTCGAAGGGCCCCTGGCCACCCGCCAGTGCAACTATAACTAGGGAGAATGTCTGCGAACGCGGATGCTGCATGCGGCTGTATGCGTCTCCAACTGGACTCTGGCATACGCGGCTCTTCTTCATCAGCGCTTTTGGGCTCATGACATGGCTTCCTTTCAAGGCCCTGTGAGCAACACGGCAAGCTCTACGTCGAAACTGACGGAAGCTAAATCTTCTCCGCAGCACCCACCGCAGTACTGGCATCCGTGCAGATGCGCATCTGCTGTTGATGCAAGCGAGCCCTTTCTGCGGTTGATGGAAGCGATCGGGATCGGGGGCATTAACGATGTGAGACAGGTCCTGGAGTCCTGGAGTCGTGGAGGTCCAGGCTGCGAGGCTCAGATCTGCCAGGAGAGTCGCGGAGCGGAGCAGCGGAGCCACAGTGCCGCGGTGTGCCGTGATGTGCCACGGCGTGGGCGTCGCGGCGTGTCGCTTTCTCTCCCTCTGCTCGGCCTCGCGGCTCATGAGCGTGCTGAGGGTGATGTGGCCTTGCCTGAGCTGCGCTGAGCTGCGCCGCTGTGCTGATCACTGCAGTCACTGCAGTCACTGCGGCTGCGGCAGCTCATAGCGCGCCCAAGCCCGGCACAGGAGGCCACGATCCGTGACGTAGACCACTCCATCGCTCTCGGCCTTGCTTTGGGCTTTGACTCCACTTCAGTTGCGTGCACTTTCTTGCAGGTTTTGGCACTTTGCGCACATGGCACATTGCTCCAAGCGGCAACCTTCATCAAGAGGTACACCTCAACTCCGGATCTCTCTCTATAAAAGTCTCTCTGAGCACTTTGAGGCTCCCTGCATCCTTGACGGTACAATCCGGCGAGACACGCACTGGGGAGCCCTCCACCAGCGCCTCGCTACCTGCGAAAGTCAGAGTGGCGATGGGCCCCGCTGGCTTAGCCGCGGGTTCCGGGCCGTCTGGAGGTGCCTGGAACTGCGGGTCCATGAGATCCTCAGCGCATCGCGGCGTACGCCGCGGGCGTCTGCGAGGGCGTGCTGGGGCCCGTGGGGCCGCCCGTGGGGCTCCGGGCGATCTCCCGGTCGGGTGTCTCGCCTCTGGGATCGAGCATCGTCACCAATCGCCTCAGCAGCCGTGCGCCGTGCGCGATCCTTCTTGAGCAGCCCTTGCAACCCTCCAACTCTCTCTCTCTTTCTCTCTCTTTCTCTCTCTCCCTCTCTCTCTTCTTCTTCCTCTTCCGCCGCCTCTCTCTCTCTCTCTCTTCGCTTCGCTTCGCTTCGCTTCTCGAGGGTTAGGTCCGAAGACCCGGGCCAAGCCCCCCCTCTCCCTTACACGTTGGTGGGAGAGTGGCTTTGGGGTCGAGTGCGCGGGGTTGTTCCCCTCGGTCGGCATGTGCGGTAGAGTGCGTCTGGCGAAAATCCCCCGACCCTGAACTTAGCCCGCGTCCCGGCCTCATCCCCGCGCCCACTATGGCAGAATCCTAAGTACCTTCGCCAGACGCCTCCCCCAAGTGATGCCCAACGGTTGGTGGCAGGTCCCCCCTTTCTGCAGTACAAGCAACAACTGAGGACAGGGCGTTATATGACTATGCGAAACAGCAGTACACTGAGTTTGTGGGGCTGGCATGGCTACTCGGTGAGGGTTCGCCAGCTGAATGTACAAATATTGTCCAACAGCAGCAGTAGCTGGTCCCCCCCCCCCCCCACGCGTTGTAAAGAAAAAGCCGGTTGAATTATTTCTTCTAGTATGGGCACGGTCGGCGAAAGCGTTGAAGTATTGTGGCGGTTGGTAACATAAGTCGCAGGATGACGACTGGTGCAATTGAATTTGGCTTTCGGTCGCTACTTCGAGCTGTTGTAGAAAAAGGAAAACATTCGGTGGCTACTTCGAGCTACCCTCAAGAAGGTATGCATCCCCCCGGCAAGGGTACAAAGGAGAATCTCGGGAACTAGGGAAGGCACATGGCAGCAGCAACAGAAGAAAAGATGCCCCCCCCCCCCCTAGTTCCCGTCCCCCGCACATTGTACTTTTTACAAGTCGCGCTCACGGCTCTCACGTTTGTTGCGCATGTGTTCCTGCACATGCTGTATACCTGCCACCACATGCTCGGCTGAAGTCGTACTCGTTGTGGGCTGTTGCTCTCTCTCTCTCTCTCTCTCTCTCTCCTCTCTCTCTCTCTCTCTCTCTCTCTCTCTCTCTCTCTCTCTCTCTCTCTTTCTTTCGCCAGGGCTATGGGCAAGAGGTTACTGTAACCCCCATGCCCGCGCGCTTGTGCGCCCCCGACTGTTGCGGAGGTGCGCATTGCCAGTTTGCTACCCCCGGCTCTTGCAAGTGGAAAAAGGAACTCTCTCCACTCAGCAACTGTAATCCAAGAAGCCACACCATAATAGGGCCTACAGCAACAAGGAAAGTAGTTACACTCGAGTTGCTGATTTGGGGGTGTTCCCCGTGAGAGGAGTTCGCATTCAAGTTGCCGGGTGCGAAAGTGGGTTCGGGTCGCAACTCAGCATAGCACATAGGAAAAGAAAGGACTGAAACAAGATGGTCTGCCCTAAGTGGACCAATCCTATTCACCCACGGTGGAAATTGGACACTCGACCATAGGCACGTCTCCCCACCCTTGTCAGGGTGCAATGTGACAAAGCTCATTGCAGGCTTTGACCTGTCGCTTCGCTAACAGGCGGGCAGTTTGACCTTGCGGAGAAATGTGAAAGAGGGTGACCAGCTGTTGAATTATGGGTCAAAAGGCTATGTTACAATGCCTCACAGCGGAGGCTTTGGCTCGAGGAAACTGGAGGCTCAGCGGCCCGTCATATGCATCTACCAGGCAGGATAGAAAGGGGTTGCCCCCGGTGCGTCTCTAGCAAAGACGGATGGAAAGCATGCCTGATTGGCACGCGTCAATGCACGCCGGTACCCTAAGAAAATGGGGGAAACCCCAAAGGCCGCAACCAGCAAGTCAACAAACCACCTAAAAGACCCAGAACACAGCGGCATCGGGCCTGGGGAAGTCCCCGTCATGAGAAAGTGGAAGGGGACTTTGTCCCCGCGTCAAAAGGCCGCTCACGAGCGCGTTCACTCCTCTCTCGTAGCCTGCTTTCGCCTCTTTGCTCTTTCCGCGTCTGGTTGCCACTCTTGCTTCCTCCTTTGCTCACGTCGTAGGACTCGATATTCCTCCTTGGTAGCTTGCCTGTACGCGTTCCACTTGGCTGCGTCAGTGGGGTAAGCGTCCAGGTTGTAAGGGGACCTCCCTTCTGCATCACGCTGTTGCAAAAGTTGGTGTAGACGATGACGCTGTCGTGCCGAAAGTGTCGGGGCAGTCCCCGTCGGCGAAGGAGGAGCGGCACCGCCTGGGATCGGTCCTTCAGTGGTCGTGACACCATCATCAGCTTTAGCCTCCTCGTACTCAAATCTCGGCGTTGGTGGAGGCGGTGGCGGCGGCGGCGGTGGAGGAGGTTGTCCGTCTCCAGCTGCTTCCTGTAGCCTGACTGCCTCCGCATCGTCGAATATATCAACCGAAGGATGTAGTCCACTCACCTGAAGGAAATCGGCAGCCTCTTCGGGCACAGCTGCAGGCGTCGGCTCAGGTTCCTGTTCCCGTAGTTCAACCGCAGGTGGAAGTGTGTGTGCTGAGGCCGTCGAAGCTGCAGGCGGGGGAACTGCGCGAGCAGCTCCTGCTTGTTGCGGTGTAAGTCCTCGGAGCACGGTCGGTTCACGTAGGAGCGAGGAAGGAGTGGAAGTAGTAGAGGAGGTAGTACCATGACCAGGGAAAGGAGGCGGCACCAAATCTGCCGGTGGGCTCGCGACGGCTCGTATTGGTGTGCTTCGGGTAGCCTGACCACGATCCTTCTGGATCTCCTGGGGGGCTCCCCCACGTGGGTTTCTAGCCTCCGGGCCCAGGATGTCCAGGAGGGAGTCCAACAGAGGGTCGTCATCCTCGAGCTCATTGCAAATATTTGTGCCGGGAACCTCCGTATCCACCTGTGCTGGTCTGCCAGTGGTCGTCTGATCATTGCGTCGTCTGTGCTCCCTGCGTGGCTCCGGTGGAGGGGGCGGCGGCGTCACTGAGGAGCTAGAAGCCACAGACCTCAAAGCTTCGTCACAGGCTAGCTCGATGTCTCTTTGAAGTAATACTTGTTTAGCTGAGCTGCACTCTGGAACTTCATGCCGAACATCCGCCGAGGCCAAAGGCCTCTGGCGTCTTGATGGTTAATACTAACCAACCCTCTACCTAATCCTTCTCCCTACAGCCCAAATGCAAAGCGACTAATTTGGACCTGCTTGCCCGGCTTCTGTCCTTTTTTGCTGCCGAATTTGCCTCCCCCCCTCCTGCCCCCCCCTCCCGGGCCCCTCCTTCCCCCCCTCCCCCCCCTCCCCTTGTGCCGATACACCCCCAAGGGATACTCCTTGTGAGGAGGTGTATGACCAGTTATTCCCTAAGGATCAAAGGGCAGCGCCCTGCACACGGACAGTAGTTGTTTTGTCTTGCTACGCAAGGAGAGCTTGTCTTGTCTCAATATGGTAAAACCACTGTGAGCCAATGGGCAGCGGAATGTATATGTATGAGCATGCAGCCATTGCTGTAGGTACCTGTTAGAGCTACCCCTTTAGAGGTTTATGGTTTCAAACAGACACTAATTTTCTTTTACCGGAAGCATGGCCGCACATTCACACATATACTATTATGCCCACTGTCACAGTTGCGGAGTTTGGACTCATGATAAAAACAGCATATTATTTATGCTAGGTATAGCACTGAAGTACACTGCTGAGGACACTCCACTCATTTTGCACACACACTCATGCATGTTGGTCAGAGAGATCATCTGTACAAGATCATGTCTGGTGATGTTTTCTACATCGAATTATGCAGCCTTTCACCTTGCTCTTGTTAGAGCTTTGTGAGTCACTGTTGTGAAACTCTGAGAATTTTTCTTATCTCAGATTCGGATCCAGGGTTGGATCATAGGCGCGAGCATAGACGTTCGGATGTGGCTCATCCGGTTCTGAGTGGTCTTCTTCGGAACTTGAAAAGATTCCGAGTAATCTGTTCTCCGCCCTGGTGAAGGCGGCGTCTGCAGTATCATATCCATGGTTGGATGTTATCGCCTTTGGCTCGGCCTTTGGAGCAGCTTGTGAGCTGGCTGGAGTTGCCTTGGCTTTTGCCGGTTGCGGCTGCTTAGCCTTTGCCCGTTCAGCCCTTCTTCTTTCAAGCTGTCCGTCTGAGGACGCCCATGATCTTTCACTTTCATCTCCTGAAGGAGATAAGGCGTGGGCATAAAGGCTATTCCAGTACTGTGCTGCAGAAGGAGTTAGGACTTCTTCATTGTCAGATTCTGACTGGTCTTCCTCAGAGCTTTGGTCGTCAAAGAGTGTCTCGAGGACATTTTTGAGATTGTTATTTCTTCGCTCTATCTCTAGTGAGGAATGGACCAATTGGTTAAAGACTGTCCTTGAGTCCTTCAGTGCTGTTAGAAGGATTTCCACTCTGGATAGAGTATCTTGGATGGTGTCAAGATGTTCCTTTTCTTTCCTCCTTGTCTCTCTGGATAGAGCCTCGCAATGCTTGTGCGATTCTGAGGAGGTCTGTGTATTTCGCAAGAGGCATAGTTACCGTTTGATTGTCATGTATGACAGTTGTTTCGTCGCCGCTTAAGTTCCTGAATAGGACTTC